CAAAATAATAGTCAAATATCACGACAGTTGAGCTCTTTAGCCGCATATGCTGCTTGCTTAGTTGTTATCTGGTTTTGGAATTATGCATGTGAAATTGAAAATGATCGACGTACGATCACACATAATTTACGAATTGAAGGAGAACGAGTCAGAAGTGAATTAATGAGTTATTTATTCTCAACTGAACTCTGTCGTAATATCTTGAGAATGACCCCTCCAACCTTTATCGGTCTATGTGAGATATTAGTTAGAGAGGGTGGTCTTAGACCAACACTTCGAACTACCGTTGAGGAACAAGTTGCAAAAGCACTTTACCTGTTAGCGCATAATGTGACAAATCGTGAACTAGCTTTCTTCTTTCGTCGATCTGGTGAATCAGTCAGTCGTTATTTCCATACTGTCTTGAGAGCTATCTTGAGGTTATATGAAAAAATTATTAAACAACCCGATGGCTTCCATGTTCCTTCTGAAATTGCCAGCAGTCAGAGATTCTACCCATACTTTAAGGTGAACACAATTATAATTTTTATTTAAGTTTTAACTAATGCCAAGATTGCTTGCATTTTAAATCATGAACATAATGTCATGATTGTATTGGTGCAATTGATGGAACACACATACGTGTTAAAGTTCCACAAAGTGAAGCACCTAAATATCGTGGGAGGAAAGATTATCCAACACAAAATGTCTTGGCTGCATGTACCTTTGATTTAAAATTCACATATGTTTTAGCTGGGTGGGAAGGGACGGCATCTGATTCAAGAATCGTGAAAGAAGCACTAAATAAACAAGACCCACTAAGAATTCCAGAAGGTAAATATTACATAATATTTATCTAATTGTATATAAGTTATGTGATGAATAAATAGTTAAGACTTTTATCTTTTTATCTTCAGGAAAATATTACATTGTTGATGCTGGATTCATGTTGAGAAGTGGACTTATTACGCCATATAGGGGGGAACGATATCACTTGAAAGAGTACTCAAGAAATCCACCTCAAAATTCTCGTGAATTATTTAATTTGCGACATGCATCTTTGTGTAATGCTATTGAACGAACATTTGGAGTTCTTAAAAAGAGATTTCCGATAATTGCTAGTTCTACAGAGCCATCATATGGTGTTGACACCCAAAAACTTATTATATTTGCATGTTGTATTTTGCACAACTACTTAAGAGGTGTAGATCCAGATGATTGGTTACTTGCAGAGGTTGATGCAGAGCTTGTTAACGATACAAATGTGCTTGAAGAACCTTCAAATAGCAAGGAAAGCAATGAGGAGTTTAAGAAAGGAGAGTTGATTCGAGATCACATAGCAACGAACATGTGGCTTGACTACCTTGCTTAATTTTCTAGGAAGTAAAACTCAAATGAATATTTTCGTGACTATTTGATTGATTCTGTGCTAAGTAATTTCTATAAGTTATTTTTGAAGTATAGACCGTATGTATTGCAGTTTTCTTTATTTTATAACTCTTATGAGTATTTATGTGTAATTTAATTTTATTGAATCTAAATTTTTTTGATTCATCTTAATTATGTAGTTGCCAATATGCCGAAAAGGTCAAAGCCATCCTCAAGCGATATAAATGTTTTAGATAACAATTCTGTTTGTGTTTGGTCAAATGTTATAGACGATACCTTAATTGATGCATTTCATCATCAGCATATACTTGGTAACAGAGTTGGTGGAACCTTCACTTCACACGCCCTGGATAATATAGTGAATGAGCTACAATCAAAATTTTCTGATAAAATTATTAACAAAGAGAGAGTTCACAATCGAATGAAATTAATTAAAAGACAATTTGGAAAGTGCTATGACATGTTTCAAAATGGGATGAGTGGGTTTGCATGGGATCCCAATACAAATACATGGAATGCTGAATCTGAAATATGGGATCAATTAATTCAAGTAAATTTATATTTATTAGTTTTGTTCTTATTTTTCATGTTTTCTTTATTAATTAATATATGTTATACTTTTTATATGTAGGCTAAGCCTGAAGCTGCTGAATTGAGGAACAAGCCAATTAGAAATTATGATAAACTAATAGTGCTATATGGAAAAGATAGGGCTACTGGAAAGCATGCCGAAACTGGATCAGACATGTTGAAAAGAAGTGCTCACAATAATTCGAGAAGATCAAGTACTGCTTCATTGACCATTGATGAGGTAGATGAATTAATTTCTATGAATGCCGCCTCTTTGGAAAACACTGAGAAAGATGGGCAAGACGAGCAAGAGCAAACAACTCCCAAAACGCCTACATTGAATGCATATTCAGAGGCACCAATTTCTAATAAGAATAAAAAGCCAAAACAAGATCATCTTGAAGGTATGACTGATATGTTGAGAGGTGGGATGGATAATTTGGCTAATGCCATAAATCGCTTATCAACTATGCAACCAATTCCAGAGAGTGAGATATGGCAGATGGTGAAGGAGATGGATTTGGAACCGCGTTTGGTCCCAAAGGCTTATATATTTCTTTGCCAACATGCAGACTTGTGCCGCACGTTAATTGGATGTCCATGGGAAGAACGCAAAATTCTTTTATTAACCATGATGTCGGTTGACAATTAAGTTAGATTAATATTATTTATATTACTATAACTATTAAGAATTTTATAATGAAGTGGAATGCTTCGTTATTAGAAGATATTATATCATGCACTCAAGTTTTGGATTATATACAATTGCTTGTTACTAGGAAATATTATTTACAATCTAAATTTTGAATGATGTGTACTTGGTATAGCGTCTACATGAATCTATGTTGATATAGCGTGGCAAAACCTTCTTCGATTGTAATGCTAAGAAAGATATATCTATAAGTAAATACCCTATACAATTTTATAGTCTTGACTACTCAACGTTTTTGACTGATCTAGAATGCGTACTTTTCTTATAAAAACAAAACTTTTTTTTATTAACTTCACTAGAATTTGTATGGATTGAATAACTTTTTTTTTGTATATAAATATATATATAACTGGTGATAAATTAGTCTAAAGCAATTATTTTAAACTAATTTATGAGTTATTGTTGATAAAATCTAAACTTTACTGCAATTAAGGGTATTTTAGTAAATTTATCAGTTACAATACATTACCATACAGTCAAACTAAATAATAAAACGATACAATCTATCCAAACATTATATCCACAAAATAATACGATACGATACGATACGATACGATATGAAACGATGGGTAACAACCATCCAAACAAGGGGTAACTAGTGGTTCAAAATAATTCAGGGGTTGTTTGGTTGCTGGTTAGGGTTATGCTGGCATTAGTAATATAGAGATTAGTTATGCAAGAATTAGTTATCGAGGATTTAGTTATGTTGGGATTAATTATGCAAGGATTAGTTATGCGAAAATTAATTATATAAGGATTAGTAAAATATAAATGTAATGTGAGTATTATTTATTATTTGTCTAGTTTATTCTATTAATATTATTATTATTATTATATTTTAGATATATTTTAAATGAAAAAATACAAGTATGAATAGAGGGTATTCTTGTTATTCGTGTTTTAATATAAGTAATACTATTACATGTATAAGTTACTCCACCTTCTACCCTACATAAATAATAAGAGTACATAGATTCTCTCATTATTTATACATGTATTAATTATGCGGGAAAGAAAACATGAACCAAAAATTGTATTAGCAATGCTATATTTTATATGGAAAAGAGAAAAAACCAACCAAATATTGTATAACTTATGCTAGATTTTATGTGGAGTTTTTTTTTTTTTTTTTTTTTTTTTTTTTTTTTTTTTTTTTTTTTTTATAATCAAACAATGTATAGAGTTATCCTAATTTAATACATGGATAACTCCTCTTTAACCGACTGCCAAACGACCCCTTAGTCATGTAGTCAGTTCATAGCAAATAAAATGGGTCTGATAGAAAATCTATCTATTCCTAATCTCCAAAAAGAAGTGCATTAGTGAAGGAACCAAGTAAGAAGAAATATACATAATAATGCAAATCTACTTTTAGTAGAAACTAGAAAATATATTTTAATATAAATTTTATTTAAAAACTTATTTAGATATTAATAAAAGAAACTCGCAAATATCAAATTATGAACAATATGTTGATTTTTACTCCAACTTTGAATTGTTTTTTCACAAATTAATTTATCTTATTTTAAATAACAATGGTTTTCATATAGAAGATATGAGTAAAATAATGATATCTAGTAACTTTATTTATCAAGATTTAGGTATATGAGAAGAAATTGCCTATTAAGTATTATTTTATGTTTTTACTGACAATTGAATTATAAGCTCTTGTAGTTTTCACCCATTTGAGCGCTAGATCACGCAAATCGTATTTTAAGTGTGTCAATTATTTTCTTTTCTTTTTTAACGGTGACCTTGTCCAACCAATTTGCACGCATTTCATCTATTACATGGTTGTCTATGTGTTATTTTATCCCTTTCAAGTGTTAAATTGACGAATCCTACCAATTTTGGATAGTTAAGGGTGATTAATTCACTGAATAAATAGTAATCAATTGCTTTACATTGTCATTTGTTCGTGTTGATGATAGTGTCGTAACTCAACTTATCTAACTTTATTTATTTGTTTTGGTAATCTCCAATAATATGAATGAGTTACTAAAAATGAATTTATATATCATTAAGTAGGATTATATTCCATATTTAGAACCATCCTTTTGTCATTTTTTCCCCAACGAAACTCTCGTATGAATTGATTTTTGTGGAATAATATAATAGGAGTACAAGCTAACCCAGCCTTTTGAATAGTAGCTTTGGTCATATCGGAGGACTGTCAACATATGGTGGTCGAACGTGTTTGAATTACATAAAGTATAGGATTTTGATGTCTAGTCCAAAAAGACACAAAACCCCAACTTCAAGGATCCGAAATTTTTGGTAGAGAACTGGACATCATGCTATGTAAATTAAAGAGAAACTTTCGGAAATTACTATATTTTAGTGGTTATTAGCTAGTTGTAGCTATCATTTACTATATTACTTTTTATAACTATGTTTTCAGATTTTTTAGAAGTGTATTCGATGTATTTAAGATACTGTATTCATGTATTCATATTCATGAATACAACAACATTTCTAGGCGTGAAACAGGGGATTACAGCTAGACATATTTTTATATTCGAGTTTATTCGACTGTATTCATGGCGTGAAACATGGGATTACAGCTGGACAGATTATTGTATTCGACTATATTCACGGCGTGAAACAAGGGATTACACTGTTTTTAAACGGAAAGTGAATTAATTAACATAATATACTCATAATATAACTCAACAAACTCAATTATAACACACAAATTTTGTATTTTCAGTTATAAAAAAAAGACTCTCAACTGAAAAACACCCCAAAAACATAGCAATCTTTAGAGAAATTATATAATACATTTGAATACATGAATTATATTAATTAAAAAAAACATATGAATATATTCATGGAATATAGCGAGATAGTGAATACAATGAAATACATAAAAATACAGTGGGATACATTGAAATACACTGGGGGAAAACAACGAATACAATGAAATACATAGAATACAACGAGATACATTGAAATACAATGAAAAAAAGACAATGAATACAATGAAATACATTGAAACACATTGAAATATATTAACACAAAATTCAAGTTACTCAACCCCCAACTCCATCGTCTTTGTTCAAGAATAACCCTAATGTCATCTCGTTCAAGTAGCATCAGTATCCGGTCCTCACTCGTCGTCACTGTTGCCTCCGGTCGCCGACGATTAGCACGTAATTACCGGATTGAAGACAAAGCATGTGATGAAGGGGAGAAGAAGAAACTTAGAAGCCGCTCTAATAGACTGCCCCCATCGACGCCACTGTTCTTGTTAACATAATACCTCACATGCGCTTCAAAAAATCTATTCTTTATAATTGAATTTGAATGGCGCTTGTGGATTGGGACGGAAAACCCCAGTTTGGGCAGAACCCTAGAACGACGAAGAGAAGAGGACACAACATAGCACATTGAGTTAATTCAACTTAATAGGCTGTAATAAATCATAAATTACAAATTAAATCATCATATCTGTGCCATTTTCAACTTTCACATGAGTCTGTTTAGGGTTGCAAGGGTATTTTGGTGGCCTTTTCTGGTTCTTGGCCGTATAAGATATTGAAGCTTTTTTATTTTTGTCCATAGTTGTTGACTTCACTTCTCTCTCCATTCCATTCTTGCTGAAAAATTTCAGATTGAGAGTCAAAGCTGCTCGTTTCGATCTGTATTTGGGAGAATTGTGGTTGTATTCATGGAGAAAGACTGGTGTTGAAAGAGAGAAG